CGCACAGCAATGTCCCACAAACAGTCGTAAGATTGAAAATGACCAATTTATTATTGTTTTTGGTTTTGGAGGGATTATTAACCCACTTAGAGCTGTGTCAGGACTTAGACTGTCAGCTGAGAAACCTCTAGCTAAATTGGACATTCACCTCGTGACCTGTTTGTGAGGCCTTTACTGTGTTATGTCTGTTTACAAAAAGACTGTGTTTGACGGTAATTGCTGCCAGGCTATCTGACAAGGTAATATGCTAAAAATTATTCCTTTCCATCAACAGAGCAGCTGGAGGCATGAAACCCGTGTGTATCAATAAGTACATCTGATCCTAATGTCACATCTATATAATATATAATAATGTCACATCTCAGCAGAGGTGTTAAGCAGCAGGAACAGTCAGCTGACAATCACATCCTCTTCGGGATTTGGCCAAACCCGGAATGGTAGAGATTAGCAGCAAAAAGTACAGCAGCTATTAAACACACCGCACAATAAGCCCTGACATTCCTCTCCTGCTTCTGGCCGGAGGACGGGAGCTGTTTGCACAGGAGAGATCAGAGCTGTTCTCTTTAGTTACAGAATGTACATTTTTTTAAGTGGTTTTGCTTTTCCTGATGGCTACAAAATTCCAAGCAAAACACTCCCAAGCCAGAAGTTCAAAAGTTTGAGACGTTAGGAAAACAGAATAGGGAATGCTGTGCTGTGAGGTGTCAGACACACACATACATATATATATACATACACATACACCAACACACACTCACACACACACACACACATACATACACAGACACGCATGTGCATGCACACACACATAGATATACACAGACACACCTACACACACAGGGGCTAATGATTGCGAAGGGTAATGAAGCCTTTTACTCTGGGATCAATGGCAAAACCGTTGGGATTAGGAGTGAAACGTTGCTGAGGGAGAATATATTTGATCAAAACAATTCTCTACAGAGCTCATTACTTCAGGCTGCTGAACGAGACTAATTGAAAGGAAAAATGCTGCTGTGGATGTTGGCAGCTGCTCGAAAGCTGAGGAAATAGTTTTCTTTTCAGCCACACAAACCTGCCACTGCAACAGGCAACACATCCTGTCCTAACCTGATCTCCACACACACACAGTCTTGAGCATCTGGGAATGGTGATGAGGAGCGAAACCCTGGCTCATCTGCTCCTGCTTTGTAGTCCCATCTGATACCCAGGCACAGAGTGGGAGTGAGGTCAGTAGCACACAGAGCGAGGCTGAGGAACAGTCTCTAGGGTTAGGTGGTCAGTGATACAGAGCAGGTAGAATGATCTCAGTTAATCTCCGCTCCCCCTGACCCAGTGTCTGCCTGTATTACAGCCTTTGATCTTTTGTCTCAGTTTATAAGAAATGGAATCGAGTAAAACGGAACAAGTAATTGCTCTGGCACAGAATTAATTATCAGCAAGAATATAACAATAATAATCCTTGCATTTGATATAGTGCCTTATCGCGTCTTCACAGAATATACTGCAAAGTGAATTGACTGTATATCTTGTGGGTGAAACGTCAGCAAGATTGTGAGACAGAAGCCACAGAGCATTGCTGGAGATCTGGGGAGTCAGACTCCAGCACTGAACGTGGGCTGAAATCCTCCTGTTAATTAAGCGGAGAGAATGTTTGTAGAAAGATCAGCCTCTCAGAGCTGAAGGCCACCTTTCATCAGTCTGTGTTATTGAAGCTAACCCCAGGGCGTGATAAAGCCAAAGCTGAAGTTGAAGTACAGGCTCGACATTGCCAAGTGCTGCTTCTAATGAAAAAGAAGCCAAAATACTGCAGCTGCTGGAAATCCGAAATAAAAACAGAAGTGGCCGGGAACACACAGCAGGTCAGGCAGAGGCAAGGATGGAGAGAGGAAAGTGAGTTCACGTTTCAGGTCGATGACCTTGCATCAGAACTGGAGGATGTTGGAAAGGAGCAGTGATCTCATCATCTCCTGTCCTCCACCTCATTTTTCTCCTTTGTCTTTCCTTCCCCGCCCTCTTCTCACATTCCCCCAGTTCTGACCAGAGGTCATCAACCCACAAAATACACAGTCACTGCACTTTACAGTATATTCTGTGAAGGGCTTTGAGATGTCTCAACGACCTGATAAGGTGCTGTATCAAAAGGATCAGCCCAACCTCCTGAACCAGCCGTCCTCGCTCTCGCTCTGAGAGAGCCTCACAATGCAGTGCTGGATTCAGAGTAAGGTTAATCTCACCAGTACCCCGACCCCACAATTTGTGCTAACCATTACCAGATCCCCCCCCCCAGGGGGGCTGGTTAAATCGTGACTGGCCTCTCCTGGCTTTGGGTTGCGAGGAGTGTTAAGCTGCTGTGTGAGCTTTCCTGCACATGTGTTTGCAATGTGAATGTGTTGGCGTGTCACTCCAGGGACTCAACCAGGAAATGACAGAGGAGGGAGGGTGGAAGGGAGGAGGGACGAGGGAGGGAGGGAGGAGAATCTGGATGAGGAACTCGAGAAGTGGATAGTTGGGAAGAGAAATGGAGTTTCTATGAATGGGATCAGACTAAGTCGAGGGTTACACCACCTGACCCCTCAGTTAGTCTGTGCTCTTTGGGGAATGCAAATTCATAATAATAATCCTTGCATTTGATACAGCTCCTTATCACATCTTCCAGATGTCTCAAAGCGCTGCACAGGATATACTATAAAGTGTAGTGACTGTATATTTTGTGGGCGAAACCTGGCAGTCAATTGCACACAGCGGCGTCCCACAAACAGTCGTGGATTAAGTGACCAAATTATTATTTATTATTATTATTCATTATTGTTTATTGTTAAACCTGTTTAATGCAACCACCTCTATTCAGCAACCACCGACTGTCAGCAACCACCCTTGAACAGTTCCGACAGATTTTCCATAATGAAATACTTCTACTCAGCAACCATTTGTCTAAAGCAACCAGTGGCCAACAAATACACAGTCACTACACTTAACAGTAAAATCCTGTGAAGCATTTTGACACGTCTTGACAATATAAAATGGTATATCAACTACAGGATTATAACATGTAGAACCATCAGACTACCCTGCAGGTACCAGACAACAACAACTTGCATTTATATAGCGCCTTACACACTGGGTAGCATCTCAGAACCAAGCGACAACTTACATTGAGAAACAGGAATTCTCTCCAGGTTATTTTTACGGTGTAAACCTCTCGTGTTTAATCGCTGAGGGCACCTCAACTGTTATCTTGTTCAGGGAATCACACAACACACATTTCTGCCTGAACATCGCCCACAGCTGTTCCTGCCATGCTCAGCCTCTGACTGTCGGAGAGGAAATCATTTGAAAATTCTTGCTTGAAATTACAATGACATTCTTCCTCCTGGAAGCCTCGTCCAGCCTGCGCTTTCTACATGACAAACAGCACTTGAGGAGGCTCGGAGACATGATAAGGCACTATATCATATGCAAGGATTATTATTATTATGATAAACAGAACTGTGACTCAGGGACAGAGCATCTACTGTTGGAAAACGGCAGGAAAGCCATGCACTTCCTTTCAACTCTCTGTCTCTTCTCTCCTGATTACATAAGCCAGGAAGGACGCAGGGTGTGTCTTTTGTCGCTCCGTAATCTGTGTCCTCAGATCTGAGTGAGGGAAAGGTCACTGTCCGAGGTGTTAGATCCTGAAAGGAGATAATGTGACCTGGAGCCAATGATGTTTGGTCACAAGATGTTTCTACACTTGATGAAGCTCTTCTTGATTCCAAATTGACATTTGCTCATCAATAGGAACCCTGAGCACCTGCTCCACAGCTGCTAAATACACTGGAGCTTTGTCAGATAGTCGTTTCTAACTCATCTGATAGTCATAAGCTTCCTCTTCACCCGTGCTTAGTCACCTCGCCACTCCCTCCGGCTCAGTGTCAGGTTCCGCCACCATTAAGTGCTCCGAGGCACTGCCCTGTGTGAAGTGTGCTGTGTAAATGCAGGTTGTTGTTCCTATTCCCACCTGGAGCACAAGCCCAACGGAGAGCAATGTGTGGCAGGGAATGGGAACTAGTCCCTGCCACACATTGCTCTCCAGCCAGTCCCCTGATCTCAGCCCCTCAGCTCACAGTCTAATGCCTGCTTTATCTCCTCTACTGCCTCCCTCCACTGGACACATACTCAATTATACAATTTAGTCTTCATCATAGTCTGACAGTGTAAGGCCTTTCAATGTAAACAAATGCCTCAAAACCTGAACAACTGTAGTGGTGGACAACAGGCAGGGATATCACAGAGTTAAAGATGTTGACCAAAAGGCTTTACTGTGTCTCTAACCTGTGCTGTCATTGACCTGGGAGTGTGGACGCACAGTGTAGAGGAGCGTTACTGTGTCTCTAACCCTGACCCGGGAGTGTGGACACACAGTGTAGAGGGAGCGTTACTGTGTCTCTAACCCTGACCTGGGAGTGTGGACACACAGTGTAGAGGAGCGTTACTGTGTCTCTAACCCTGACCTGGGAGTGTGGACACACAGTGTAGAGGAGCGTTACTGTGTCTGTAACCCTGACCTGGGAGTGTGGACGGACGCACAGTGTAGAGGAGCTTCACTGTGTCTCTAACCCTGACCTGGGAGTGTGGATGAACGCACAGTGTAGAGGAGCGTTACTGTGTCTCCGAGCGGTATTGTTGCTGACTGGGACTGCTGGCGGCTGACACAGGTTGTGCAATTGGATCGATCATTTCCCAGTATCCTTTACTCTGATGTACCAATCATCACAGGTATTAGGAGACAATGTCCGGTGAATAAGGACCAAAATGTGGAATGAAAGGGTCAAGCAGCTTGTGGTGTAAGGCTTGGTTGCACTGGACATGTTGTGGCAGCTCAATGTGACGTTGGCTTATGGGAGACAGCTCAGAGGAGGCAGATTCAGATTCTCTCTCTCTCTCTCTGTCTCTCACCGGCTGTTGTGTAACTGCTAAACCTCATGCAAAGTAAACTTTTCAAACTTATTTTTAACGGTTTATAAACTTCCTGCTGCTCAGGTGAGTCACTAACTTATGCTATTAAACATATGATCGGCCACACAGACACCGGAAGCTGGTAATATAACAACTTGCATTTACACAGCACCCCTCACGCAGGGAGGGCAGCGTCCCAGAGCGCGTGACAGTGGCGGAGAATGTCGCTGAGCCGGGGGAGGGAGAGGGGGAAGGATGACTGCAAGTGCGGTCGAAGAGGAAGGTCTTGAGGCGCGACCTGAAGATGGGGAAGGAAGGGGGTAATACAATACAATACAATACAATACAAACAGGTCGTATAAGTGGCTGTTGAGAACTCACTGCTTGAAAGCTGCTGTATTGGGGAGGAAATTGATCGAGTGACAAGACAACAACAACTTGTTTTATCCATCGCCCTTCACACGTGGGATAGCATCTCAGAGCGTATGAGGGAGAGATCGAGTAAATGTAAGGGTTTATTTTTACTGTGAGCTGCTGTGGTCTTTTGCTGCCAGCGACTGGGCATAAAAGTCCTTTCTTTTTAAGTATAAAATTAACAGCATAATTATATTTTTCTATTAAAAAAGAACCTCGCTTTGCCTAGTCCCGTCTGTTACTAGTGAGAAGGCGTCTCCAGACATTCAAACTGCTGACTCAGTGGTTACGTGGGCTGGGAACAAAGATTTAGCAAATTGGCCAATTTTAGTCCACAGTTTATAGAATTCCTGCTGGAAACATAAACTTTAATGGTTGTGCTTGGGTCAGGAATAAAAAAAAAGTTATTTCTCCTGTCAATTGGGAGAACACAGGCCGTCAGGAAAGACCTAACCCTAATACCCCAGGGAAACACAAGAGCCATGAGGATTTAAGGGGATTAGGGACATGGGGAAAGGGTTAGGAAATAGAAATTTATATAATCTGTAAGAAGTAAATAAAATGGGCTTTCTGGATTGAATGACTTCCTGCTGTTCCTATATTCCTGTAAATGGAAAAATAAGTCCCAGAACTTTTAACGTAATGTTTAATGACATTAACAATTCAACAACTTGCATTTATACAGCGCCCTTAACCCTGGGCCGCGTCTCGGAGCGCTTGATATCTGTGAAAGAAATATTGAAGTATTGTAGCGTTAACTAATAATTTTAACCCTTGCATTTGATAGAGCTCCTTATCACTTCGTCAATGCATCTCAAAGCACTTCACAGAAAATACAGTAAAGTGAATTGACTGTGTATTTTGTGGGCGAAACGCGGCAGATAAATTGTGCACAGCGGCGTCCCACTAACAATGACCAAATTATTATTTTTTTTGAAGGGATTATTACACCCGGAACGCGATCCGTTAGCAAAAAGCTAATGGAAGCTTTGTGTATGTGTCTGTGAGTGTGTATGTGAGTGTGAGCCTGTGTGAGTGTGAGAGTGAGTGTGTGAGTGAGTGTGTGAGTGAGTGTGAGAGTGTGTTTGAGTGTGAGAGTGAGTGAGTGTGAGAGTAAGAGAGTGAGTGAGTGTGTGAGTGAGTGAGTGTGGGAGTGAGTGTGTGTGTAAGTGAGTGTGTGAGAGTGTGTTTGTGTGAGAGTGAGTGAGTGTGAGAGTGAGTGAGTGTGAGAGTGAGTGAGTGTGTGTGTGAGTGAGTGTGTGAGTGAGTGTGTGAGAGTGTGAGTGAGTGAGAGTGAGTGTGAGAGTGAGTGTGTGAGTGTGTGAGTGTGTGAGTGTGAGAGTGAGTGTGTGAGAGTGAGTGAGTGTGAGAGTGTGTTTGTGTGAGAGTGAGTGAGTGTGTGAGTGTGTGAGTGAGAGTGAGTGAGTGTGTGAGTGTGTGAGAGTGAGTGTGAGAGTGAGTGTGTGAGAGTGTGTGAGTGTGAGTGACCAGATGTGAGGGTCCGCTCAGCCGCGACCGCAACCTAACCTGATGGCCAGTGTATCCGCGCGGTGACGGGCAGCCCCGACAGCCAATGGGACCCGGAGTCCGAGAGAGCGCCCAATCAGCGCGAGGAGGCGGGACTTTCCAACCCGCCATCAAGTTGGGCTGCGCCGCTGCGCTGAGTATAAGGGAGAGCCCAGAGCAGAGCAACAGCGGGGGCCGGGCATCGGGCATCGGGGGGAGGGCATCGGGCATCGGGGGGAGGGCATCGGGGGGAGGGCATCGGGCATCGGGGGGAGGGCATCGGGGGGAGGGCATCGGGCATCGGGGGGAGGGCATCGGGGGAGGCATCGGGGGGAGGGCATCGGGGGAGGCATCGGGGGAGGGCATCGGGGGGAGGGCATCGGGGGAGGCATCGGGGGGAGGGCATCGGGCATCGGGGGGAGGGCATCGGGCGGAGGGCATCGGGGGGAGGGCATCGGGGGGAAGGGTATCGGGGACTGGGCAAAGGGCTTTCTGTGTGGGACTTACAGTCACATTATTACCAGGAAAAGGCTTTAAACTCTCTCTCACACCCTCTGCTCACAGGCAGAGCAGACCCTTTAAGTGTTGAGAAAAGTCCCCCCCACACCCACACCCACACACACACACACACCCACAGACACACACACACACCCACAGACACACACACACACACCCACAGACACACACACACACAGGCTCACACCCACACACACCCACAGACACACACCCACAGACACACACACACACAGGCTCCCACACACACACACACAAAGTTTTCAGAAACTTTCCCCAAAGTTGCTGTCAGGGAGGGAGGGGATATGTGTTAGTCTGGAAACCAAACCATGGCAGTTTACGCTCTGACGGGCTTTTCCCTGGTCAGTCTGCTGTCCTTCGGCTATCTGTCCTGGGACTGGATGAACGCGGGGCTGGGAGGAGAGGACCAGAGACCCACGAAGGGGAACGGAGAAGTGCGGAAACCTCATCTCATCTTCATTCTGGCGGATGATCAAGGCTATCACGATGTTGGGTACCACGGCTCGGAGATTCACACACCAACCTTAGACCGACTGGCAGCAGAAGGGGTTAAACTGGAGAATTATTACATCCAACCCATCTGCACTCCATCTCGAAGCCAACTGATCACAGGGAGGTAAGTCCGGGGCTGTGCTGTGTAACTAATTGCAAGGCATCTAATAATAATAATAAGTATAATCCTTGTATTTGATATACCACCTGGTCCCGTCTTCGAGACGTCTCAAAGCCCTTCATGGGATCCACTGTCAAGATTGGCTGTATCTTTTGTGGGCGAAACGCGGCAGACAATTGCGCACATCAGTGTCCCACAAACAGTGGTGGATTGAGTGACCAAATTGTTGTTATTATTATTTATTATATCTGAAGTATGTCGGGGTATTTTTTAAACCAACCGATCCCAATGTTGATGTGTTTCGCCAACAAAATACACAGTCAATTTACTTTACAGTATATTCTGTGAAGAGCTTTGAGACGTTTCGAAGATGTGATAAGGCACTGGGTCAAATGCAAAGATTATTATTAATATTAAAACTTCCATCCAATGCCTGGCAGCGTACATTGTGTTTACCCAAGAAATCCAGATATGGAAACTTTTTCCACCTATCCATCTGATTAAATCCATTCATTCATTTCTTCAGTCATCCATTCATTCATTCATTCATTCATTCGTTCGGTTCAGCAAATTTATATTACTTTCAGTGTTTTTTTAATCCAACCTCAAATTCAAGAATGTGAGATATGTTTTCATTTTTGGGTTGGGGCAAGTATTTATTTTGTTGCAATAAGTTATTCAATTCCGACTTCTAAATCCCATAGTGAGGGTGTAAGTGATGTGCTGTGAATGGGGGAGTGGGGGCGGATGAGGAGTTAATTATCTGACAGATGATGGGTTGATCTGATGTCTGTTTCATATTGGCTGGAGTCAAATTTCAGCTGAAATTCGAGTTAATGTGCAGTTCATTTCAAACCAACACAAATCACAATCCTTTGTACACAGGTCTGTGTTAAAATCATACTCTCTCCCCCAATTCGCACTGAAGTTTAGTTCCATGAATGCGTCACGTGCAAAGTGGACAGTCTTTGTGCGTGCGACAGTGAGTGTACGTTTGAGTCATCAATAACCAATTGCATTTATACAGCCCCCTTCACACAGGGTCGCGTCTTGGAATGTTTAACATTAATCATAATCCTTGCATTCGATGTGGCGTCTTATCACGTTGTTGAGACGTTTCAAAGCGCTTCACAGAATATATTGTAGAGTCAATTGACTGTGTGTTTTGTGGGTGAAAGGCAGCAGCCAATTGCGCACAGCAGTGTCCCCACAAACAGTCGTGGATTGAGTGACCAAATTATTATTTTTTGTTTGTTTCTGAAGGGATTATTACCCCTGGAAAAGCGATCCGCCAATCAACTGACAACCAGGTTCCTACTTACTGCTAAGGAAACAGAGGCATGTGGTTGTAAAGACATTTGCCCAACGTTTCGCCCTGCCAAGGAATCAAACCCGGGTCCTCTCGCTTGCGAAGCGAGTTGCTCTAACCACAACACTACAGGACTCCACGCGTATATATTATATATAATGAGAAAAGGGTGAAACTCCAGAAAGCCAAGTGAAACAGACCCACAGACACAAACACAAACCAGCACACGAGAAGCCTGCAACATACCAGGAGAAGAGGAAAGAAAAGTGGGAAAATAAACCAGAAAGCAGCTGTTGGTAACACAGTTCCATGCGAGCCAGGGAACACAAAGAGAGAGAGAGGACGAGAGAGAGAAGCAAATAATAATAAAACCTTTGACATTGAAAACCCAGTGAATTATCCTTGTTTAGTCAGCACTTAATGAGCTGCGCTTGATTTACATTTATTGCCTGAGAAATTCCATTGATTTAATGCTAAGTTTGCCACAGGACTGGACTTGGTTCTCAGCTTCATGTATTTATGTATTAATATTTATGCAGTTCAGAATCCCATTATAGTAATCTAATATAAACAGAGTTTTACTCCCATTTAAACCACCTCGCTCTCGACTTTAACCACTTATCCTGTTGTTTTACTTTGGTTTAAATGTTTTAGCAAAATAGCATTGGGTTTTGTCTGTTGTGGGCCCTTGAGATGTGTCTATTTTGGTTGAGATTATGAGTGGCCTCTCACTCTTTCGCCCCCGGACCCCAATTATAATAATAATAATCTTTGCATTTGATATGGAGACTTATCACGTCTTGAAGTCGTCTCAAAGCTCTTCACAGGATATGCTGTCAAGTGAATTGACTGTATATTTTGTGGGCAAAACTGTCCCACAAATAGTTGTGGATTGAGTGATCAAATTATTATTATTTTTTTTGAAGGGATTATTACTCCCAGAAAGTGATCCATCAGTAGGACTAAAATGTGGGTTCCTACTCACTGCTCGGTAAACGGAAGTGTGTGGAGTAAGGAAACTTGTCCAACATTTCGCCCTGTCCGGGAATCGAACCTGGGTCCTCTCGCTTGCAAGGCAAGTGCTCTAACAACTGAGCTATAGGGCTGCACAAGCTTTATACAGAGTTAGGATCCGCGGGAGAGAAATGTGCACCAAAGAGGACGTTGTTGATAGCCATACAAATGTAATTTTGTTGATGTTGCTGTAACCTGCAAAGTTTTGTTGGCTTTGAGTTTCTAAAGCCTGAGAGCTGAGTGTTGGCTGCTCGGTGTGCACCTGGGAGTTGGCTCTCGTTCTGAAGCAGCAGCTAACCTTGTCCCCACACGCTCTCTGGCCTCTTGCTCGGGCTTCTCCTGGTTCTGTGCAGATGTGACTTTGAGGCACCGACAGAGGAGACATCTCTGTGATATTCAGTCAGAAGCAGCAGATAAACAAGTGCTGTTTGGAGCATTGCCTTCTTTCCCTTTGTGTTTACAGCACAGAAGGAGGCCATTCAGCGTATTGTGACTGTGATGGTGCTCAGCAGGAATGGGAACAGTGGACAGTGTTTGCTGCTGGGAGGTTCAGAGCCAGTAGAGACAGTTCTTCTACTGTCAGTGAGTTTCTCAGCCTCAGTGACACCCGTTTACAACAATAACCTGCATTGTTCAGCGCCCCTCACGCAGGGCAGCGTCCCTGGGCGCTCAAGAGTGGCAGAGCACGATGCCTAGCCAGGAGGAGGGAGGTGACTGTTGGCACATCAAAGAGGACAGTCTTCAGACGTGACCTGAAGATGGGGAAGGAGGGGCGAAGCGGAGGGAGGGATAGAGAGAGAGTGTTCCAGAGTTCGGGGCGTAATGGCTGAAAGCGCAGTTTTATTGGATTTCTGGTTTATTAAAAGTTTGCCTGAAACGTTCCACATTCTTCAAATCAACTTTGATTCAGTGGTGTGTGACTGGACCACTTCAGTGGGGAACAAGGGGCGCTTTTTTCTAGGAGGTGAAAACCCAGTAAATAAAAAGGCCTCGTATTATTTCGACAGGACACTTGTTATGCTGTGCATCGTATTTCAATGCAAAGGTTCCCTGATAGTGAGTGAAGAGCCCAGGTCTGTGTCTCTGACTCGTGTCCACTGGGAGCTAATCTGAGAGGAGTTTACAGTGATCAGAGACGCGTCTCTCACACCCAGGGCTCGGTCCAGCACAGATCCCACGTGGTAATTGGAGCTGAATAGAATGACTGCTAATAATGGCTGTTCAGTAGGCAGTGGAGCTGTCAGGGAGGCAGTGAATGTGTTTGCCTGCCTGGGGCTTGTCACCACTGGGAGGAAATCAGCACTGATCACTTTTGAGGCTGCTTCACATTAACAGGGTCCCCCGCCCCATCAGCACCGAGGTTGTGATTGGTAATTGCCAACGTTTTGTGAATGTAAAACACGGTGAATGTCTCCAGGCCAAAGGGACAGCTGGAGTTTTTCCACTGGAAATGTTCCGACTGAGGTTTAGTTTGTCCGCTGGGCTCCATGGATTTTTATTTCTTGTGATTATACTCTGGTCCCGTTTGTAAAGAATTTTGATCAGATATCCTAGAGGATGTTGTTTATTCACCTCATTGCCTGGATTCCTGAGAGCCGGATCTATTGTGTTACGTGGGACCTGCTGACACAGGCTACCTTCCCCTCCACAGCCAGTCCCAACTGCAGTGGAGACCTGTAGCTTAGTGTTTAAAGCCATCGCCTCGCAAGCGAGAGGACCCTGGGCAGGGTGAAAGGTTAGGCAGGTTTCCTTAATCCATGCACACGTCTCTGTTTACCCAGCAGTAAGTAGGAACCTGGTTGTTAGTTGATTGGCAGATCGCTTTCTGGGGGTAATAATCCCTCAGAAAAAGTCACTCAATCCATGACTGTTTGTGGGACGCTGCTGTACGCAATTGGCTGCTGTGTTTCGCCCACAAAATACACAGTCAATTCACTTTACAGTATATTCTGCGAAGCGTCTTGAGACGTCTCAAAGACGTGATAAGGTGCTGTATCAAATGCAAGGATTATTATTATTATACAGGTTTATGGGAAGAACTTTCCTCTGTCTATTCGTTCAACAAATCATTGCCTCTGGTTAGGAAAGCCCAGGGCTTTGCTTTGCTGCAGTATACATAAGGCACGGTAATGACTTACTCTCTTCCTGTTCTGCTAACAGTATTGTCTGGGTGTTTTCCCAGGTACCAGATCCACACTGGTCTCCAACACTCCATCATCAGACCCAGACAACCCAACTGCCTGCCGCTGGATCAAGTCACTCTTCCACAGAAGCTCCAGGAAGCGGGCTACTCCACCCACATGGTGGGCAAGTGGCATCTGGGCTTCTACAAGAAGGATTGTCTGCCCACCAGACGAGGCTTTGACACCTTCTTCGGGACGCTGACAGGCAGCACCGACTACTACACGTACGACAACTGTGACGGGCCGGGAGTGTGCGGCTTCGACCTGCACGATGGTGAGAACGTGGCCTGGGAGCACAGCGGGAAGTACTCGACCTCCTTTATGCCCAGCGCGTCAGCAAGCTCCTGGCCTCTCACAACCCCAGGGACCCCCTGTTTATCTACCTAGCCTTCCAAGCAGTGCACACTCCCCTGCAGTCCCCAAAGGAATATATCTACCAGTACAGGTCCCTCGGCAACGTAGCTCGCAGGAAGTACGCGGCTATGGTGACCTGCATGGACGAAGCCATCAAGAACATCACTTTGGCGCTCAAGAAATACGGGTATTACAAGAACAGCATCATCATCTTCTCCACCGACAACGGAGGCCAGCCTTTCTCTGGGGGCAGTAACTGGCCTCTCCGAGGGCGGAAAGGCACCTATTGGGAAGGTGGGATACGAGGGATCGGCTTCGTCCACAGCCCCCTGATTAAGAAGAAGCGAAGAGTGAGTAAATCCCTCATTCACATCACCGACTGGTACCCCACCCTGGTCTCGCTCGCCCAAGGCAACCTCACTGTGTCACCACCGCTGGACGGTTACGATCTGTGGTCGACAATCAGTGAGGGCAAGAGATCGCCACGAACCGAGATCCTCCACAACATCGACCCCCTGTACAGTCAGGCCAAGTACGGTTCCTGGGAGGAAGGCTTTGACATCTGGAACACGGCCGTCCAGGCCTCGATCAGAGTGGGAGACTGGAAACTCATGACCGGAGACCCAGGCTACAGCGACTGGATCCCACCACAGATGTTGCCCAACTTCCCCGGCAGCTGGTGGAACCTGGAGAGGCTGAGAAGCAGCGTTAAGAAGTCAGTCTGGCTGTTCAACGTGACCGGAGACCCGTATGAGCGCTTTGACCTGTCCGACTCCCGGCCTGATGTGGTCAAGCGGCTTCTGGCCAGACTGGCCCATTACGACGAGACCTCCATCCCCGTCCGCTACCCGCCCGAGGACCCCCGAGCTAACCCTGAGCTGCACGGGGGGGCCTGGGGGCCGTGGGCCAGCGAGGAGGAGGCCGAGGTGGAGCAGAAGAGCGTGGCCAAGAGCAAGAAGAAGAAAAAAGGCTGTAAAATCTGTAAACTGAGGTCCTTCTTTAAGAAACTGAACACGAGAATCATGTCAAACAGGATCTGAGCTTTGCTGAGCCTGAGGTTGAGGAAAAGATCTTCAAATGTGAAGACTTGGGCTCCGATTTGGGGTAATGTATCGGCAAACTGGATCCCTTTGTATTCATTGGGAAATTCACAGTGAAATTCCTTCCCGACCTGTTTATTTTTCTCTGGCCCTTTTACTGACGGGATTTTTCCACAAATCGACATTCCAATTCATTCAGCATGATCCGGTTTACAACCATTATACGTTTAAGGATAAATCACAGTGGACACGAGTGAGAGAGAGAGCGAGAGCGGTGTGAGACTGTGGGGGACTGGTTTGGAGATAAACATCAGATTTGATGGTTCAAACGAGCTGTTTCTGTGGGTAAATAAATGTGATTCCATTGATTCTTTCACTTAAGTGCAGGTTTGTACAGGGAAGCCATCCCAGGAGTAGAGGAACTGCCTACTTCATTGCACAAATCACTGCTTATTTGATAACTGTAAAAGGTTTGAAATAATTTAGTTTCCTGGCCTAGCCACTTGGGGTTTTCTTATGTCCTAGTCTGCTTTCCAGCAGCGTCTCAACCGAAAGGATTCAAAATGAGAGAAGGTAAGATGTTACCATCTGTGTGTGCTCAGCTCTCTTTGGCAACACTGACGTTATTTAAAGGGGAATGATAGGAAGGGAGAGTAGAGGTGTCATCTTTATCGTATCTACCTTTTATTCTCAGAAGCAGTTTAATAAGAAAGTGCACAGTGATGTGGCCCATGGGCAAGACAGATAATTATACAGGACAAATGGATGGACTGCGGATAGGAGTATCTCAGCCACAAGGAGACGGTTTTCCTTGACCTGAAAGTGATCATTGAGGGGGTAGTTCAATGGGAAGCAGTTTTACATTGTGTTTCCACTTTCTCTCCTGATTGGTGGCAGTCACTGTGGTGAAACCTCAGCTCGCTATCAAGAGGGAAGTGTAAATCAGAAAGTCATGTCATCTGGAGCATCCACTCATCTGGTTTAGTCTTGTCAATCAAAGCCTCGGCCGGGATTGAACTGGGACTTATTCCAACATGGAGTCCTGTAGCTCAGTGGTTAGAGCACTCGCTTCGCAAGTGAGAGACCTGGGTTTGATTCCCGGCAAGGCGAAACCTTGGGCAAGTTTCCTTACTCCACACACACCCTGATAATAATCGCTGAAGGACAAAAAACAACAATAAATTGGTCACTTCGATCCACGATTGTTTGTGGGACACTGCTGTGCCAGGTTTTATCCATAAATATACAGTCAATTCACTTTACAGTATATTCTGTGAAGCGCTTTGAGACGTCTAGAAGACATGAAAAGCACTATATCACACTCAAGGATTATTATTCTGGGCTATGTGACTGATGCTGGGTTTCCAAACAGTTCACTGGTCTAAGTTTGGGAGAACTGCAGTCTTGAGCGAGCAGATTTTTCGTTTTTTTTATTAACGTCTGATTTTTAAATTTTTCTACACACACAATTAGTAGCTGTGCATCTGATAGCCGGCGCCACAGGACAGTGGGCTGACAATGGGGGAATGGTGCTCCCAGCTCACTGGCTTTGACTTGTCTGAGAGTGAGGGATAGGGAGGAGTGAAGCCCGATTCCTCCAGTCAACAGCAGTGTGTTTGTTTGGCAGTGGCTGGTCTGTGAGCTTCCGTTACACTGTGAGGTGTGACTGCACCAACCAGTCCATTGGTGGAGTCAGTGATAAGGAGACCCCCCCCCCCCCCCCCACTGCCCATCACCTGGTTGTGTTCAACTTGAAATAGCAAAATAAACCCCAACATTTATTTAACTCTTACACACTTTCTGGAGAAAATGTTTTTCTTATGTGTCACATTCCTATGTTGGTAAAACTGTCTATGTGTCAGTGATTCAAGAGCTTAAATATAAGATAATTATCCAAAAAACAGAGAGTGCGGAGAATTTTAAGTGAAAGCCACTCTATAACGCTGTACTGCAGAGATCAGCTAACAACACAAACCGCAGCCTGAACACAGGACCTTCCTGGGCAAGGCTGATCAGCTCAGTCTCACACTAGGTAATACATTCACCAACTTGAGTCAACCAGGGAACCTCAGTGCTGGACAAGCTAAAAATAAAACACTCTCTCTCACACCACTAGCCAGGGTTACGAGGGATTCAGGCGACAGATGAGATCTGAATTATTGAAACCTATGGCAGAAATGTGTTGGTGCTAATATTGGGCCACGGTTTCTCTCTTATTGACTATTTATTTCACCAAAATGTCTGGCAGTGCATCAGCTCTTATACTGGAAACATTTGGGTGATATTGTGTTCATCACAGTAAAGTTCCCTCTGCACTGTCCATCCACACTCCCAGGTCAGGGTTAGAGACACAGTAACGCTCCCTCTACACTGTGTGTCCACACTCCCAGGTCAGGGTTAGAGACACATTAACGCTCCCTCTACACTGTGTGTCCACACTCCCAGGTCAGGGTTACAGACACAGTAAAGCTCCTCTACACTGTGTGTCCACACTCCTGGGTCAGGGTTAGAGACACAGTAACGCTCCCTCTACACTGTGTGTCCACACTCCCAGGTCAGGGTTACAGACACAGTAAAGCTCCTCTACACTGTGTGTCCACACTGCCAGGTCAGGGTTAGAGACGCAGGAAACATAGTAATGCTCATTCTACAATGAGTGCTCCGTTTAAGTAAGAAAAAACATTGAACACTAAGCTCCCACAGAACTGTTGCATTGTAAACAATTAGGAGGAGTAATTAGATGAAGCTTGCGAGTTGCTGCTTACTTACAAGCTTAATTAATTCACAACAAACAGTGAGGAGCAGCCATGCATTACCAGGTACAACCCTCCCTTCTGGCAGCTCACGGACTCTGTTCTACAAGGTGGTTTGGGACGATGGATGAAAGTGACAGACATGTTGCTTGTTCTGCGGCTCAGCCTTTGCTGTGTGTTAAGATGTTGTATAGATTGATGAATAGGTTTGAAATAAAGATAATTTTAACAAAGCCTCTCTGGGCACAGGAACATACAGGAGGGCACAGATAGATTACATCGCCAGCTGACAGTCACAGCTAGGGGACGGGAAAAGGGATCTCGTTCCTGAATGAAGGAGAATATTGGAAAAAGAAAATGGGCAACATCTTCCTCCTCAGTCACTGCGATATAGTTACAATATCACAGTCACAATCCTCAGTGAAAGCTACACCAATATTTGCTCTTCTATCTCAGAGCACACACATACGCACAAACACAACCCCTGGCAACACACAGACAGACACACAGCTCGTTGTGTGCTGTGCAACTGCCTTGCTCTCATCTCCAAAATTCATCCAATTTACCAGCCAATTAGCACAACTTTCTCTGAATCTTAAAAGGCTTCTGATGTTTCTTGTCAGTGTCTTGTGCGATGTCCAACTACAGCTGTTGACAAAGCCCCTGAACACCCTGATAAACACCAGCGCTTTGGGACATCCTCCCGACGTGAAAAGCGCTCTATAATTGTAATTTTGTTGTTCGTTGTTGTTGTAAAGGCTGGAATCCATGGTGCTGCTGTAAATGTAACACAAGGTCAGCATGTCTCTGCTACCCCTTTCTCTTGGTATCTGGCTCTAGATGTTCCTTATAATAATTCTTGCATTTAATATAGTGCATTATCATGTCGTTAAAACCTCTCAAGGTGCTTCACAGGATACTCTGTAAGGTGAATTGACTGTATATTTTGTGTGTGAAATACAGCAGCCAATTGTGCACAGCAGCGTCCCACAAACAGTCATGGACTGAGTGACCAAATTACAGTATTATTTTTTTATTGAAGGGATTATTACCCTGGAAAGTGATCTGCTAATCGACTAACAGTTGGGTTCATACTCACTGGTAGGCAAACAGGGGCGTGTGGAGTAAGGAAACTTGCCTAAAATTTTGCCCAGCCTGGGAATCAAACCCGGGTCCTCTCGCTTGCGAGGCAAATGCTCTAACCACTACGAGACAGGACTCCACTGTGACCCATCAAACATCGTAATGCAATTAAGGCCATTTTTACGGAGACCCTGGCTGATTTGGAAATCTCATGATTTTTAGAATGGGAAGATTCCCTTTAAGGCAGATTATTACTATTGAATTTGTGATGCTCAATGAAAGTGAGTCACCTAATAATGAAGAAAGAACACCACTGAGCGTAAAGTGCAGGATGTGGGGCTGTTTCTGCTGAGAAAACAATGAGAAAAGAACAAGGTGAAATTCCCATTAATATCCACAGCCTTCTCCCTGCTCCAGAGCCAGAGTGCTTGTGGGTGTGATGTGTCACTGATGGTTATAATTCACTCACATATTGTGCCTCCGTCACACTTCAGATGCTAATCCCTTGTGGGAAGGCACTACATCACCAGCTGTTTATTGCTTATTGCTTCCTCAACCAGGGAATAAAGGAAAATCTTCACTTAAACCATAACCAGAAAAGTTTGAGAGAGTAGTAGCTTTCAAAAGTGAATTGGATATGTACTTGAAAAGGAAAACATTGCAGGGCTTTGGTTCAAGAGTGGGGGAGTGGGACTAGTTGGGGTAAGAGTGGGGGAGTGGGACTAGTTGGGGTAAGAGTGGGGGAGTGGGACTAGTTGGGGTAAGAGCGGGGGAGTGGGACTAGTTGGGGTAAGAGTGGGGGAGTGGGACTACTTGGTAGCTGTTTTAAAGAGCTGGCACGATGGATCGAATGGCCTCCTATGCTGTGAGATTCTATGATTCTAAAAACAGCATCAGGAGCACAACATGCCTGTTAGTGACCAGATCAGTGTGACTGAGACCTCGGGCAGTTGAGAGGTACAGATTGGTACAGTACAGTACTCAGCCATTGCTCCAGCCTTTAGCTCCCTGTGTTGTTCTCCTCTTTAGGTGCCAGGGTAGAGTTCCCTCTGATAACTCAGGCAAGCACTCACCAGATGTTAAGTTCACATGTCCTGCCAGATGTAAGACACCGTGTGTGGCAAAGGGAAGGGAGAGAGTCAGTTAGGAGCTGAAACTCAGCTTGATTTACCTCCTTTTCTAGCCCAGGGTCAACTGTAACCTTTTTCTGCCTCCCCAACTAAAACACCAAGCGCCCTACACATCAGGAATGGAATAGAACTTTCCTAATTCGAGCTACTCAAACACATGGTTTTCTGGTCAGCCGGGTGTCTGACACACACGGACCCATCACCTGCTTAAGAGTCACCAAATCCAAGCTGAGATTTCCAGGCCTCCCACCTACCCCTGGAGTCTAACCAGCTTGCCATTGAGAAAGCTGTGTCGCAAGCTTTGTCATGCTGGGCAGTGACTACCAATCAGCTGAGATTTGTTTTTATATCAGTTAAAATGAAGAGATTATTATTTGCGTAAAAATATTCAGAAACTCTGTGTGTTTAATGTCCTGTATATATCCTTGTATTAGCTTTGTAAATCACACCCGCTTCACAGTGCTGAAGCCTCAGGAAATTTGCATATAATGATCACAGTCATCTGAAAACTGGCAAGAGAGCGCTCTGGCAACTCCTGCAGAAATCTGTGTGGTTATGTAATGAAAGAGCACTTCATTCTACTTCACGAGTATTTGCTCATAAAATTATCTCTCTCCTCTAATCCCATTCCCTGCTCTCTCTCTCTCCCCCCCCCCCCCCCCATCGTGCCTGTGCTGGTGCTCGCTCCCCCCACTGGAGCTCTCTACTTTAACCCCATTCCATGCTCTCTCCCTGCACCATTTATATTGTTTCTCTGCCATCGCTTATCCAATTCCTTTTCAAATGCTTTTACAATTTCAGATTCAACAGTTGGGTGATGATCTTGTCAGTGAAACGCTGTGATGCAGGATTTATTAAAACCCAGGAAACACAGCTCCAGCTTCAGATAGAAAAATAGCCTTGTTTATAGATTAATATTTCAGTCAGTATCACACTGCGTGTTGGGGAGCTCTGTGACTGAGTGACCGAGCGAGCGAGCGAGTGAGTGAGTGAGTGAGTGAGAGGCCACTGTGTGTGACGGTGGTTAGCCAGACCTGGCCTGACTGGCTGCCTCAGGATTAGTTTTTTTNCTCAACTTATGTTTGATGTTCAGAAAATTCTGGAAAGAATAACTGTGAAGAACGACCTAGTTACGAGCAGTGAATGGTACTGTTGCTATGGTTCCTCTCCGGTGAGAAACGCAATGGGCCTCACACGGTGGAGGGCAGCCGAGAATTCCTGAAAAAAACCTGAGCGCAAACCACGCCCTGGGGGGGAATCTGGGGGCATGGGGGGCACTGGGCGTCATCCCAGGTCATGCCAAGGGGCTGGGGGTGGTGGGGCAGGGTGGGGCGAGGTGGGGTAGTGGGCATGGCGGGCGGGGGCAGTCTGATCTCCTCAGAACAGCTCGGAGGTAGAGCCGTCGTCCAACCACATCGCAGCAGATCCAACCTGACTTTGCTTCAATTCCACCGCGGGTTAGGACGCTGGCAGGTGATGTAACAGTGAAAATATGTTGTTACTTTTCTTTTTTTCTCTCCCATATGTTGGGGTTCGGGGAGGCTGTTTACTGACCGTACCCCAGAGACTGGGAGAGAGGGAGGGAGTCAGTGAGTGAGGCAAAGCACACGATGGATAGGGTTTATGTTGACCGTAGAAGGAAGGGTATGTTTGGCCAATAGCTCTTAGTCCACACTTCCTTCTCATGGAACTTTCTAATGTAATGGTGCTGACAGCGAGGGAGACAGGCACAGCTTCGCTGTGTAGGAGACTGCAGCTGAGCATCAGGGAATCACTCGGGAATAACGATTATTTTCCAAAATGCACATGGCCGGGATTGCTGCTGTGTGACCTTTGGCTGTGCGGAGCACACAGCAAATGAGCGAGATGATGGATCACAAGCCCAGCATAGAAACTGCAGGGACACCTGCTGTGCGCAATTGGCTGCCGTGTTGTGCCCAAAGAATACACAGTCAGTTCACTTTACGGTGTATCCTGTGAAGCACTTTGAGGCGTCTCAATGAGGTGATATACGACGCTGTGTCAAACGCAAGTATTATTATCATTATTATAAACTGAGCAAGAGGAGACCTCACACCAGGTAAAGGCCGGCAGCTCCACAGTAATCCAAGGCAAGTGTGTACGTGCAGAAATGCCCTCAAACCAGTACGCCAGTGATTCAACAGACTGTGAGTTGGGGTAACTGCTGGAGTCTAACCAGTTAAAAACCACACAGCTTACCATTCCTGGATTTCAGGAACATTAGGTCCAGGTCCAGTGTACGAGTTTAAAGGAGTTTCACAAAGCCAAACCCCATTAGATCTCAGCCAATATGACTCAAGGCTTTGTCTGCTTGTCCAAGGCAGTTGTCACACGTTTCCTGTTTGACTATTCATTCAGACGGTATTTGGCCCTGGCAGCGATGTGTCATTTACAAACCCAGATGTTGATTTATTTTAAATTAAGAGCAGTCTGACCTGATGAAGCTTTGCAGCCCAGCTAATTCTCCTCAGTGCAGTAAATCAAACACTCTCTTCATGTTCATGTTAATGTTAATGTGACGTGATGCTCTTTACTTAGTCTCCATTATACAGTCTATTATTCCTCTGCCTTTCTGTTAGACTGTCAATTCCATTTCAACCGATTCTTGATAAGGGAATATTTCTGACAAATAAACTTAAGCTGTTTGTGGGCAAGTCTGTTTGTTCTCGTCTGGACTCATTGTGCTTTCCGATAAACACCTCCCATCTCGCCATCTGATGAATATTTTTTCATTTTGTAATAGGAAAGTTGCATCACACATTCATTACATAAGTGTTATTCGGTGGCAAATAAGGAAAGTGGGTGTCTTAACGTTTCACATATTACAAACAGGAATACCAGTGGGAAGGAAGCCCTGTCTCTCTCCCGATGAAACAATGATTCAATGAAACAAGTCCAAACTGTAGTGGTTAGAGCACTCACCTCGCGAGCAAGAAGACCTGGGTTCAATTCTCAGATAGGGTGAAACATTAGGTAAGTTTCCTTACTCCACACACCTCTGTTTACTCAGCAGTAAGTAGGAACCCAGTTGTTAATTGATTGACAGATTGCTTTCCGGGTGTAATAATTCCTTAAAAAAAAATGTGGTCGCTCAATCCACGACTGTTTGTGGGACGCTGCTGTGTGCAATTGGCTGCCGCGTTTCGCCCACAAATATACAGTCAATTCACTTTACAGTATATTCTGTGAAGTGCTTTGATACGTCTCAACAACGTGATAAGGCGTTATTTGGAACAATTCTCAACACAATGCCCAGTGGGCACCACTCAATTGCCCAGAATTCTGAGACAAAAGTTGAAGAGGAAGATTATGAAGAGGAAGGGAAAAGAGGAAGGTCCTGGGGTTGGAGCAGTGAGCTCCTTTGGGAAGTTAACACTGGTTTAGGCTGGATCAGTTTAATGCTATGGTTTTTTATTATTCTAATCAGATACAAATTGGCTATATCAAATGCAAGGATTCTTATTATTTAATTGGAAATCTGACTCAAGAAAAAGTCTTGAAGTAGGAAAGTGAAATGGGAAACAGATCACACAGAGTCTGCTCAGGGTCAGGCTATTTGTAAATTTCCTGAGGATAATCAAGTCTTGTCATTATTATAAAATGTGCCAATGACTAAACTGTGTGACAATAGGAATAAATACAAAGGGAAACTGATGTGGATCAATTAAACTGATGGTTAAGCAAAGCCTGAAAGATTTTAACAGAGAGAAGGGGAACACTGGGGGTATAACTTGCAATGTTTACCAACCATTAGAAGCATCAACAATGACTTCCTTTTGCTGTCTAATTTGTCACATTTGCGAAACAACCGATTGTGATTTGTGTGAAAGAGGCTGAAATGTGAATGAATCATCCAGTCCTGAGGAGAAGCTCTAAACTAGGGAGAAAGCGAGAGGTAATCGACCTGTCGATAAGAAGCTTTGAGGCTTCTATGATGGAACTGTGCCCTGGGAATCCATTCGTCTACAGATAGAGCAGAAATTCACCAGCAACCCAAAGAAAAGCTGGTTACATATCTACTGGAGTCCTGCAGCTCAGTGGTTGGAGCACTCGCCTCGCAAGCAAGAGGACCCGAGATTGATTCCTGTGCAGGGCAAAACCTTAGGCAAGTTTCCTTACTTCACACCTCTGTTTACCCAGCAGTAAGTAGGAACCCAGTTGTTAGTCAATTGGCGGATCGCTTTGCTGGGGTGATGTCTTACTAATCATCTTCATTTAATCATGTTTGTAAAACTGTTTCTCGACAGAGAAATTAACAAGTGTAAATGGAATTCATTCCCTCACTCAGTGCCATCACCAGTCACCAATAAAAAGCTCAAAACCATCACGATTTCAGGCACCTGCCTGGAGCAGATGTCCTCCTGACCAAACTGCTCTGGGAAACCCACAGATAACTGCATTCCCACAGGTACTGGGACCAACAACACATCACAACAGGAGGTCATTTGGCTCTTGGTGCCTGTGCTGGGGCTTTCTCTCAGTCCACACACACCTGGAGCTCTCAGTTCTAAATACCATTTCCCTGCTCTTTCCCCACTTTGTTATTTCCCTCCAGGTTGATCCCATTGCCGGTCTGTACGGAGTGAGCTGATCTTGACTAGAACAGTCCAGGACTTTGGCTGGGACAAGGAATGAGATGTGAAAGCCGTGCAGCTCCTGTAAATCACAGAAGAATTTACTCGCTGACTTGGGTGGGTTTGTGCAAGGTGAGGGGAGAATCTGCCACCAAATTTAGAGAGAATATAATGTTGCTCCTTCAGTTTCTATCAAGATAACAATCCCACACGAGTCAGAGCCATCTGCTGCCAGCAAACCGCAGCCTCGCTCACTCACACACAAAACTTCATCATCTGACAGCAGTCTCTCCTCACTTCTGGCCCCTGACTCTCTCCTAGATTTCTAAAGGATGTCTAAAGGATCGAGGGATTAAGGGATATGGGGATAGGGCGGGTAATGGAATTAGGTTAGAAGATCAGCCGCAATCTTATTAAATGGTGGGGCAGGCTAGAGGGGCTGAATGGCCTACTCCTGCTCCTACATCTTATGGTCTTAACCGGTCTTGTTTTTATTAATAATAATAATCCTTGCATTTGCTGTAACGCCTGATCATGTCTTTGAGACATCTCAAAGCGCTTCACGGAATAGACTGGAAAGTGAATTGACTGTATATTTTGGAGGCGAAACCCGGCAGCCAATTGCACACAGCAGCGTCCCCACAAACACACGACCAGGATCAACGCTATTTTCCATTCTCTTGCTTCTCCTAAGCTCCCTTTCTCGTAAGCTACACACGCTCTCTTCCTCCTCCCTGTATTGTATTGAAACCTGCTGTTCCTAACAGAATTTTAGCATAACATTCCACACATTGATAGAGTGAAGTGTGACTTTTTAACCCTGTTCTGATCTTATGTTGTTTTATCCCAAACCCCAGCTCAGATCCAAATCCCTGACTGTCCAGCAGCTTGGGACGTCCTCCCGACACGAAAGGTTCTGTGTAAATGTCAGTTGTTCCTCAGATCCCTCATCCCTCCTACTCCTCACTCAATATCCATCCCTCGGGTTATCAGTGCTTTGCAGGGTTATTTTAAGTAAATGGTACTGGTTTGGGCTGCTGCCCTGGCTCTGCTCTGCTGGTGAGTTGCCTGAAACCAGGAGCTCAGTGTGTGGGAATCCCTGTTGTGAGCCTGACCCATTGCTCCAGGCCGGGGGTGGGAGAGACCCAGTGAGAGGCTTGTCAACCACACCTGTCCCTCTGCCGAGGTCCTGAGGGCTCTTCTCTCCTGTGATGATGATCCGTTATCTTTTAATGGTAACATTTGGGGAGCGTTTCTTGAGGCGACAATCACGGACACAAAGCATTTTATCGGAAGCTGAGATGGCTTTTAGGTCACTATTAACTGCCTGTACTCAGTGTGTGACATAATAAATGCCCTTTGTATAGCTGATAGAGAGGCTACAATCTGTATCCACTTTCCCAGGAGGGCCTCTAGGATGTACAACAACAGCAACCTGTATTTATATAGCACCTCTGACATAGGGTAGAGTCCCATGGTGCTTGAAAACCTACTGATTGGGTTGGAGACCAGAAACTCAACCCCACTCTGCTCACAATCTCTGTTTCCTCTCTGTTTAAAGTTCAGAGATTTGTAGTCCATAACAAAATCCTCTTTGTTAATACTATAATAATAATCCCTGCATATGATACAGTGCTTTATCATATTGTCTCTAAGCGCTTCACAGAATATACTGTAAAGTGAATAGACTGTATATTTTGTAGGAGAAACACAGAAGCCAATTGCACACAGCAACGTCTCACAAACAGTGACCAAATTGAGTGAACAAATTTTTAAAATATAATTTAAAAATAATCCATCAATCGACAAACAACCGGGTTCCTACTTACTGCTGGGTAAACAGAGAGGTGTGGAATAAGGAAACTTGCCTAACTCTATCCGTGGAGATAGAGTCAAAGAGTAGTTAAAGTTGACCGATATTTTACTGCCCTGATTGATTGGACTGGAGACCCGAAGAGGGATAATCTGCTCCCAATCATGTTTCTCTGTTTCCTCTTTGTTTGAAGCCCGGAGATTTTTTGGTCAATAACAAAATCCTCTTTGTTGTCAATCTGGAGTCTTTGCTATTTGATACGTGGCTGTTTCTGAGTAAAGCCAGGGGTGTGAGCGCACACACACACACACACCCACACACACCCACACAAACACTCACTCACACACACACACACTCACACACACACCCACACAAACACTCACTCATACACACACACACTCACACACACACCCACACAAACACTCACTCATACACACACACAAACACTCACACACACACACCCACACAAACACTCACTCATACACACACACACACACACTCACACACACACACACAAACACTCACTCATACACACACACAAACACTCACACACACACACACCCACACAAACACTCACTCATATACACACACACAAACACTCACACACACCCACACAAACACTCACTCACACACACACACACACACTCACACAGCCCTGAACATTCAGTAATTAAAGAGTTAAAAGTGGCTTCTTTGGAGCGCGATGCTGTTGCTTTGGAAACGTAGACGGGTTGGAGGGGGAGTGTGTGATGAGAGTAGGGGAGTGATGTGGAGAGGGTGAGATTAGTACTGGCTGGCTTCCACGGTTATCATTGGGTGAGCTGTCAATCAACCGGTTTGGGAGCTGGAGGCTGAGGAAGGGAAGAGAGAGACAGCGAGAGAGAGAGAGAGAGAGAGTGAGACGGAGAGAAGGAGAGGGAGAGATACAGTACCGACAACATGGCAACGATAACTTGCACCAGGTTCAGTGAGGAGTATCAGCTTTACGAGGAGCTGGGCAAGTAAGGCATTTTCACAGTAACACAAACAACACACAGTTATTGCACAGTTCCTTTGCGGTTCCTTTGTTTGGGATTCGCTGCGAATGTAAATGTGTGTTTTGGTGATTTTCAGGGGAGCCTTCTCGGTGGTCAAGAGATGTGTGAAGACTCTGATTGGACAGGATTACGCGGCCAAGATTATCAACACCAAGAAATTGTCTGCCCGGGGTAAGTGTAGGGAATGACTCCCGGCTTCGTCTGGAACGCTTTGAGTTTTGTTGCGATCTCAGGTTGAGACTTCGCTCCCTCTCGCTCTCTCTCTCTCTCTGAGAGAACTATCAGCAGGTTGTCCACTGAGCTCCATCTCCACAGCTCTGCTCACTGCTCCTCTCCAGGTACCAGCACCTGTGGCTGCATCAGCACCACAGGATCCAAACCCATCAGAGATACAACTGTGACTGCTACACTGAGATACATATCTAATGGGGGAGAGAGGGTAGAGGGGGGCAGAGAGAGAGAGAGACAGAGAGGAGATGGGGTGAGGGAGGAGAGGGGAAGAAAGGGGGAGAAAGGGAGGGAGTGATGGGAAAGAGAGAAAGTGATGGTTGTATCTCAAGTCACTCAAACAGATAATCCCTCCAGATAAAATGAGGAGGGAAAGTGTGGAGAGTGAGTACTGCTTTCTCAAACACCGAAAGAGTTTCTGAGCTTTAACACTGCAATGTTTGACGTGAGGATAAACCAATAAATCCACCCAGATTCTGATCGATAAATAGAAAGGTGCAGATGTCTGAACTCCGATTGATTGTGCTTTGACACTTTTGTTTGGTAATAATAATCCTTGCATTTGATACAGCGCCTTCTCATGTCATCGGGAATGTCTCAAAGCGCTTCACAGGATACGCTGTAAAATGTAGTGACTGTATATTTTGTGGGCAAAACACCATTGCGTTTCTCTGCCATTGTGACAATGGCAGATCTAGAGAGTCTGTGATACTGTAACAGGCACCTCACAGTCCCTCCCAATTAGCTTTGTGTTGTGTACCAAATGTATGGAGGTAAACACACAGGTAAACAGAGAGCAGGTGTGTGTGTGCGCCTGTGTGTGTATAGTATAGAGAGATGGTTTTCTATCCCTTTCACTTTCCTCTCCTGAGGTTGGTGCTGGCAACGGTTTAGATACATAGACCCCGGCCATTCCCTGCTATCTCCCCCACACAGCTGTTATCTTTGTCCAAGCCTAGATATAATAATCCTTCCATTTGATACAGTGCCTTATCACGTCTTTGAAATGTCTCAAAGCGCTTCACCGTAAAGTGTAATGACTGTGTATTTTGTGGGCGAAACACAGCAGCCAATTGTGCACAGCGACGTCCCCACAAACAGTTGTGGATTGAGTGAACAATTTATTATTTTTTTGAAGGAATTATTACCTTCAGAAAGCAATCCAACAGTCGACTAAACAACCGAGTTCCTACTTTCTGCTAGGTAAACAGAGCTGTGTGGAATAAGGAAACGTGGCTAAGGTCTTGCCCCACCCAGGAATCGAACCCGCTCCCCTTGTTTGCGAGGTGAGCGCTCTAACCACTGAATTACAGGACTCCACTAGACAGAGGGTGTGTCAGGCAGTTGCTAAGAATTTATCAATTGCCCCAATTTAAACCCCGCTATCTTATTCCCTATCTCAGAGTGAAACCCTTCCCACTGCCTGAGATTCCCCCCAGGATTGCTGAATGATGGACACCTTGTTGTTGTGAATCTATCCCCACTGGGAATAGGGCTGATCCTGGCCCCAAACTTATCTCACACGGAGACCCTCACAGCCAACACAGGAGACTTCTGTGCCACCGGGCTGAGCTGAGAGCTGAAAACCCACTGCCCCCACTTGGGTGTTTATATCAATTTCTACCAACTGCCTCTGTATTAATCATCAGCCAAAATGAGTCTTTGAGTAACTTGTATTTTGACCATGAATGACTATTCTCAGCCAGTCCATGTGTGTACGAGGTCCTGTGTGTTGGGGGTGAGTGATATTAATCACTAACAGTAAAAGAACAAATGCATTGCAATGATCTAGAGACTGCCTCCTGTAATAACCCTGTGGGCTGATGCTGAATTGAATGCTATTAACTGCATCTACAAAGCGATTCAGGTACTGTGAGTCAGTCTAGTCGTGCACATCACTGTGGTGCTCTTGGAAATCGGACTCAATGTGGGTGCCAATGGATGAGGCATTGAGTGTATGCGTGTGTGCGAGTGTGTGTGTGAGAGGAGGGGAGGATGTGTACATGGGCACACAATAGACCACCCACGTAGAGTGGGAGTGTTGGCAACACACGCTCTCATCTGCTAAAGATCAAATATTCTATTTTATTGTCAAAGCTGCTCTCTTCCTGAAGCTGGGTTTGTTTTCAGCTGATCCTGTTTATTCTGAATCTAAATGAAGAATTTAAGGTTTTGGAACGCGGGTTGGGTCTGTGATCACTTCGGAGCTGAAGAGAGTTTGAGGTGATCTGAGAGACACTGTAAAAGCTAAAGGAATCACACAACAACAACAACAATCACAACTTGCATTCGAGCATTTGAGGAATTTTATCACTAAAATCACCGATGAATTGTAGTTGCAGAGTGCGGGATAAAGGAGGGTGTCAGACAGAAATGGGTTCCTTAATGAGTAAGTTACAGGGAAGGGCAGTAAGTCAGAAACAATGTGTGACTGGGTGAAATCTGGAGGAAAGAGCCCTTGAGGGACATGGTGAAAAGGTGAGTGAGTGTTGCCATTGAGGCCCCCATGGGCAGGACAGGACCAGGCAGAGGTCTCACCTGGTGCAGGGTACAGCCAGGTCTGGGCAATGCTGCCTTGGCCAACACAAACCCAGCACTGGCACAGGAGTGGAATCCAACATCAGCTCCATTTACATACAGAGCAGAGCTCACGCCATACATGCCATCCAACAGCAACCACCATCACCACCAACACGTGACATTTACTCAGCACCATTCATATCAGGAGAATGTCCCAAGGTGCTGGACAGTCAGGGATTTGGTCCCGAACTGGGGGTTGGGATCAGGAGGGGTGGAGGGTGGGGATACGAAGGTGGACTCGCAGCTCTAGCAGCACTCCAGCTCTCCCAAGTCAGATTATTGTCAGACAATCCTGTTACAATGCAGTTGTTTGGAGGAGGTGGTGGTGGGGTGGGGGGGGTTGACAATAAACCAACCAACCTTAAAGAAGGGCATGATTGGCATCAACGTGTCCACATGGTAATGTTATGACTGGTGATGTCTCAGGTACACACACAGTCAGCTGACTGGCCACACAGTAAACAATAGCCAGCGATCAGATCATCAGATCAGACTGATGTCACTTCCTGTGGGCTCCACAGAGCAGTATGTTATAATGGAGGCTTGGTGAACTTTGTTATTTGAATAATTTCACATTGAGTCAGTCGGGCGTTAGGCATTATCTATGCAGTGTGGAGTTAAATGTGTTTTCAGTCTGTGTTGATGTGTTTAATGAGTTTATGAAAGACAGACCGCCGGGGATAATGTAATTTGTAGACGGCTGGGAGCTTGCTTGGTTGAAAGGTTGCCAGGCTGAATTATCTTTCAAAACCTAAACGGAGGAAGGGAGGGATTGTCAAAGAATTGCTGATAAGGGAACCTGTGATGTCTTATCTGCGGCTTTAGGTTGTTCATCCACTCCATTGGTCAAACGACTAAACCCTTGAGATTATTTTTCTTTCTCTAAGTTGCTCCCTGCTCCTCTCCCAAAAGCAGTGACTCATATAGGAAGTGTGGTTCCACAACTTCCAGTGCCTCAACCAGATGGTGCTTGAGGGCAGGCAATCACCGCATTCAGTGATGGGATGTTTTGACATTGTGAGCACGATAATTTTTTTGCGTCTGACATACGCGGAAACCCATCACTGTGCTTAGGAGTATCCAAACCAAACTGAGATCTTACCTACACATAGAAATCCCAGAGATAGATTGTTGGAATGGAATGCTTTCTCTCTCTCTCTCTCTCTCTCTCTCCCTGGAGGGACGCCCCTCTGCTTAACTAATTCCGGAGAGCATTAGGTGCAGGTTTGGCAAGAGCCAAGGCTTGGGTGGAGCCCAGAGTGTGCGTTGGGGTAACTGCTGAAGTCTAACCAGCTAAAGCCAATATCAAATGCAAGGATTATTATCATAAAAACTAGTGCTAGTGAACAAAGTTGGTTCAGGAGGGGAGGCATTAAAGTGACCCGAGGGAATGGATCGATTCGTCACACTGAGCTGACCTGGTGACCTGGCAGTAATGAAATCATAAACAGATTACAGCAGCACCACGAGTGGAATATAAATAGCGCTCCATCACTTTCACAATGTGTTGTGTTTCTGCTGCACATTAAACATTAATCATTTGGTGAAATGTTAATAAATCTGTGTTTAACGGTCTTTGGTGTTTGGTGCCAGTGTAACCAGAGTTATTACCTCCTCTCTCTCTCCTCATCGTGTCTGTGCTGAGGCTCGCTCCCCCACTGGAGCTCTCTACTCTAACCCCATCCCCTGCTTGCTCTCTCCCCGTCTTGTCTGTGTTGGGGCTCGCTCCCCCACTGGAGTTCTCTACTTTAAACCCATTACTTTGCTTTTCCCTCATACCCCCATCTCATATTGTTTCTATTCAAATACTTATCCGATTGCCTTTTGAATGTTGTTATGGCCTTATCTCCAATAACTGCTCACATTGAGGTGCTCCAAAAACTGAAACCATTTTGCCAGAAAATACACAGTCACTCTGCTTTACAGTATATTGTGTGAAGCGCTTTGAGACGTCACAAAGACGTGATAATATATGTGCTATATCAAATGCAAGGATTATTATTATTTCTCTTGTCTCTTCCAGTGACATTGCCTTTGTAACCAATTCACTAAATAATAGCAATAATCCCTCTCTCGGTATTCATCTCACTGACACGCCTACTTATGGTAACAGTAAATCTGATGAACTGTTTGGGAATAGAGTAGAAATGCCATCCAATTCAAACAGCCTTCTTTTAAAAGGGATACACCATGATTGAGCAGATTGTTAATCACGTCTCATTTCAGTTCAGGATAAAACTGTCTCGTTTAACCTAATTTGCCACATTTCTGTGCAGTATGCATTATCAGTTAAAGGGTAATTTCATTCCATTTCGAAGCTGATAATGTCACCAGTTTACTCAAACACCAGCCATCGGCAAGTA